AGTCCTCTGCACGTGGCAGAAACACAATATACATTTATCCATTCATCTGTTGATGGACATTTGGGCTGCTTCCACCTCTTGACTATTGTGATTAGACAGTCATAGCTGCTATGAATATGCGTGTACAAGCATCCCACATTTTTTGTATACGTCTCTCCTGACTGAATCATCTACCTATCCACCTTTCTATGTTAAAACATCTAATTTACAAAATATAACAAAGAATTAAAAACACATATAATTTACAAATACAAGTTACACTATAATCTGCTTTTACACTTAATTTATAATAAAGTTCATATCATTAAATATTCTAACATAATTGCCGCCTGTCATTTCATTATATGATTATAGGATAGTGAATGTAATCAATCCAATATGGTTTGACATTTAAGATGTTTCTGAGTTTTGCTGTTATAAATGACAGCTATAGCTAAGTCTTTGTCCACATTCTTAATTATTTCTTCGGGACAAGTTTCTAGACATGAAATTGCTGCAATAATATAAATAGCTAACATTGAGTGCTTTTATGTGACAGACAATGGTCATAAGCACTTTACTAATATTACCTGATTTATACAAGTACTATTATTTTGCCCGTTTTATAGATGGGACATGAAGGTCCAGCTAGAAGAGGTGGAGTCGGAGGTGGCTGCAGGCTCAAACCCGTCTGCTGCTCCAGGATGGGCTCCAGCTCTGAGCTTCTCAATTTGTGCTTCCCCTTTTGTAAATGGGATGACAATGCCAACTTCACTTGGCGACTGTGAAGACTAAATAAGCTAATGTGTGTAAAGTGCTTAGACTCATGCACTGGGTACATGATCAGTGAGTGTCAGTTATTTCGTAAATGTTGAGGCATAGCAATTCCATTGGCTCTCATATTTGGCAATATTTTCATTCTATGAATTCGATTCTGCTTTTTTTTTTTTTTTTTTTAAGATTTTATTTTTTCCTTTTTTCTCCCCAAAGCCCCCCCGGTACATAGTTGTGTATTCTTCGTTGTGGGTTCCTCTAGTTGTGGCATGTGGGACGCTGCCTCAGCATGGTCTGACGAGCAGTGCCATGTCCGCGCCCAGGATTCGAACCGACGAAACACTGGGCCGCCTGCAGCGGAGCGCGCGAACGTAACCACTCGGCCACGGGGCCAGCCCCTCGATTCTGCTTTTATAGTTTGAATCTTTTTTTTAGTATATCATTACACTTGTAATTACTTTACTCTTTCCCTTTATTGAAAGGAAATATAAAACTTCTCTGAAACCAAAGGTACTACATAACATTTACACCAAAAATGTGCCCAATAGTCTTGTTAAAAAGATAACTGAGTATAAACATATGAAAAGATGTCCACTTCACCATTAATCAAAGAAACTCAAACTTAAACAACTGTAACCATGATGATGCCCAGCGTTGGCTAGGGTGTGTGTAAAAAGGTATTTTTTTTTCTTTTTTTTTTTTTTGAGGAAGACTGGCCCTGAGCTAACATCTGTGCCCATCTTCCTCTTTTTTATATGTGGGATGCCTGCCACAGCATGGCTTGACAAGCAGTGTATAGGTCCACGCCCGGGATCCTCCGGGCTGCTGAAATAGAATGTGTGAACTTTGCTGCTCCACCAGCCTGGCCCCTAAAAATGTCTTCTTAAACACTCTTGTCAAGTACAAATAGTGCATCTTTTCCCCAGGGCTATTTGGCAAAAAGTATCAAAGTTTTAAAGTGCAAACATTGAACAAATCAATTTCACTTCCAAGACTCTTCCTAAGGAAATAAGTGCCAGAATGTGTGTGGATGATGTTCCTTGCATCGTTGTTTCTAGTAGCAAAGCATTTGAAACCTACGCAACCTATAGGGGAATGTTGGGCCCCACCTAGATCTTCTTTACTTGCAGGTGCACACCTACCCCTGGGCTTTTATGCAGATCAGAGAGTTACCTGGGGAAGTTACCAGAGGGGTGGAGGAGCAGATTCCGGCAATGACATCCCCTTGGGATGGTCAGCAGACAGAAGCTCATCTCCAGCTCTGAGACCACATTCTTTGTTTGCTTTCTGCTCTTTCTGCTTCCTCTCCACTTCCTTTCTCCTGAGAGCACTCCTAACAAGTCACAAGAACAAGAGTCCCCAGCTTAAGCTCTGCTTTTGGGGTACCTGATCTAAGACACAGCCATTAAAAGTGATTATAAGGGGCTGGCCCAGTGGCATTGTGATTAAGTTCACACACTCCACTTCAGTGGCGCACGGTTCATGTGTTCAGATCCCAGGTGTGGACTTACACACCACTCATCAAGCCATGCTGTGGCGGTGTCCCACACACAAAGTAGAGGAAGATTGGCACAGGTGTTAGCTCAGCGACGATCTTCCGCGAACAAAAAGAGGAAGATTGGCAACAGATGTTAGCTCAGGGCCAATCTTCCTCAAAAAAAAAAAAAAAAAGATTATGAAAATCTATATTCACTGATCTGGAAAGATGTTTATAGTATACTAAGTGGATGTAGAATATTCATTTTTTATAAAAGCCCAATGAACAATAATAATTTTTTTTAAAAAGGCCAAAAGAACAGAAGTCAAGCTGTATACTCTGTGTGGACTAATATATTATGGATTATTTTCTTAAGTTATGATAATAGTATTGTGGCTATATAGGAAGATGTCCTTATTCTTAGGAGATGCGTCCTGAAAGGGTAGAGTGTTTCTGCAACTCATTTCCAGTTTCAGTTTTCCACAACAAGTATGTGTGTATAGAGAGAGAAAGAGAACAGACATAGCAAACATTAACCATTGTTGGATCTAGCCAAAAGTATATGGAGTTCATTGTATTAGTCTTTCAACTTTATAATAGATTTAAATTTGTTCAAAATAAAAAATTGGGGGGAAAACGTACCTTCTGAGTATTAGGATTACTGTGATTTTAGCATCAGGAATTGTGAGAATTGGTGTTTCTAGTTTTTTTTTTTTTTTAAAGATTGGCACCTGAGTTAACAACTGTTGCCAATCTTCTTTTTTTTTTTTTCTGTCTGCTTTTTCTCCCCAGATCCCCCCAGTACATAGTTGTATATTTTAGTTGTGGGTCCTTCTAGTTGTGGCATGTGGGATGCCGCCTCAGCGTGGCCTGATGAGTGGTGCCATGTCCGTGCCCAGGAGCTGAACCAGTGAAACCCTGGGCCACCTCAGTGGTGTGTGCGAACTTAACCACTTGGCCATAGGGCCGGCCCCCTCTAGGTTTTTATTCTTGCAGCCAAGGACTTTGTGTGCTACACCTGCAATGCTGATGTCAGCTGTTTGTGGCAAAGCTTGTGGCACCACTGTGGTGAACATTGACCTCAGGGGCACTGTACACTCTCTGGCTGCTGGCTTGTGCCACCCAAGGAGGGTACATGTGAACATGGCTCCTGCCTTAGACCTTTAGCTTGCTTTCAAGTCTGTCAGCTTGGTAGGCTTGTCTCAGCTAAACCTTGTATCTGCTAGCTAGATTAATACACTTTCAACATGAGCACAACCTTGATTCAACTCTTCCGCTTATGGGAACCCAGTCAAAGGAAATAACTACAAATGTGCCAATTCTACTAGCAAATAATTAGAAACAATCTCAGTGGCCAAATATAGAGGACTGACTTTCAGAATCTTATGCAATCACTGAAAACAGTACTGCAGAAATGTACTGACATGCCAACTGACATGGAAAGACACACAACATACAGTGAAAAAAGCAGGTTAGAGGGGCCGGCCCCGTGGCTGAGTGGTTAAGTTCACGTGCTCCACTTTAGTGACCCAGGGTTTGCCGTTTCGGATCCTGGGCACAGACCTACACACCTCTCGTCAGGCCGTGCTGTGGCAGCATCCCACATAGCAGAACTAGAACAACTTACAACTAGGATATACAACTATGTACTGGGGCTTTGGGGCAGGGGGAGAGGAAGCATGTTAGAAAAGTGTATGGTATGAGGAAATTCTATTTAAAAAATTACAATTACATCCATAGACTTGGAAGAATGTGCACTAAATGCTTAACTCTGGCTGTCTCTGGGTGGATGAAATTTTGAGTGTTTCGTTTTTTTGCTTATCCCTATTTTCTGACTCTCCTGTAATAAACATGTATTGCTTAAGCATTTTAAAGAAGAAATCTTATTAAAATATAAAAGAAGATAGCATGACATTTTATAAACAAATCCAATTATAGCACTTCCTCATAATAAATTATAATTTAAATGTGGGGGTTGCATAATACCTGAACATTTGAATCTTTCTTTTTTTTTTTTTAAGGATTGGCACCTGGGCTAACAACTGTTGCCAATCTTTTTTTTTTTCCTGCTTTATCTCCCCAACCGCCCCCCGTACACACTCGTATATCTTAGTTGCAGGTCCTTCTAGTTGTGGGATGAATCTTTTAATATAGCTACTTAAAAGATGCAGCCTGCATTGTGGTCAAGACTTCAGGTTCTGTTCTTGGGATAGCTGGGTTCCATCTCAGTGTCTCTGCCACTCAGCTGAGTGCCTGTAGAGCCAGGCTGGCTAGTGTCTGAATCTGTGTCTTCATCTGTGTAACAGGGATGGCAGTAATAATACCAACCTCACAGCTTTGTCGAAGGTTAAATAATACACGACAAGCTCTTGGCATACTGTCTAGTAGCACTAAGTGGTCAAGAGATGTTAACTATTGTTACTAAATCAGATGTTCTCTGGCTTCTTCAAGGGGCCAGCAGATGCCTTCTGTTTGCACTAACAGCAGGAGCCCGTGCCTAAGCCTGCAGCACTCCCCCAGGCACTCGCTTTGCATCAGAGAAGGGAGCAGGTGACAGCAAAAGTCATTCAATTTCCCTGAAGCCTCCTTATCTCTGGTCAGGAGGTAGAGAGCTGATTAACTGTTAATAGAGCGCAGTGCTAACAGGCCAAAGGTCCACGACCAAGGTCTGATGTCCTTTAACGAGCAATTGTCCCTACTAACCACCACTGGCTGGGGGGGCGGGGGGGGGGGGCGGGGGGGGGGGGGGGTGGGGTCAGGACACTTTTAGGCCACACAAAAGACAGCATATTTATTTGGAAAACAATAGTTTCAAAATTATCTCCCAAACTCAGAATCTGTGGGTGAGGGTACACACCCTAAGTAAACGAGTGAGGTCTTCACCAATTGTTCACTTATTAAATACAGCTTTAATTCACTGATTATGTGGAGTAGTGTTTTTCCACATTTCTGTGTTAAGAATCATTTGGAATGCTGGAGATGAATTCCATCCCATTAATTAATACATTGGGCCTGGGATGTGCCAGTAATTTGGAAATTTTTATTTTTATAAATATCTCCAGCTGATTTTCATGATCACAGAAATTTGGGAAACACTGATGAAACCCTCTTTTCAGCTTCCTTTGCAGATTTTAAATCTTGAACTACTGATCTTAGAATGACTCACTGAAAAGTCTTAGCCAGTCCAGTTTTAGGAAAGGCGAGTAAATCTTCTGAACACTTGGCCTCATAAATTCTCCACTTTGGAAGCATCATAAATACTTTATTCTGATTGTTTCCTGGAAGACAGCATTTCTCATTTCCATTTCTGGCCCAGCTCTTCTAAATCACTTTTTAATTGGAGGGTCTATCTTCCTTGAGTTGAAGCATAGCGATCCAATCATTTTTAAAGATTTTTTAATTAAATGATTGTCACATTTAATAACCTATGCTTGCTTCTGGCTTGCTTCTGTCTTGCTCCCTTTTCTCCTGAAACCTAAGAAGTTAGGGTGCTTTGCATAGACTCAGTATTCTGGCCTTTCCACCTTAAATCTCATACTGACGACCCCGTGTATGCCAGCCTGTATCTCATCGTTTTCTTTAACAGGCCCTACTCCCTTTGGTGTCCCAGTCAAGATGATATCTCCTTCTTCCAAGGTCATTATCTTAGAAACGTAGCTGATGATGTAGGGGATGGAAAAGATCATGGCGGATGTCTCACCCTCCTGCCTGAGTTCGCCGTTGACCTTGAGCCAGAGCTTCAGGTTGTGAGGGTCAGGGATCTTCTCTTTGGGCACGAACGCGCTGACGGGGCAGGAGCCCGTGAAGCTCTTGGCCAGAGTCCAGGGCAGTCCTTTCTTCTTACACTCGTCCTGCACGTCCCTGGCGGTCATGTCCAGGCACAGGGCATAGCCCGCCACGTAGTCCATGGCCGCGGCCTCCGGGACGGCGCGACCGCGCCTGCCCATCACCACGGCCAGCTCGAGCTCGTGGTGCAGGTTGCGGCTGTAGGCGGGCATGAGGACCGGCGAGCCCTCGGGGGCGTAGGCGGTGGACGGCTTCAGGAAGAGCACGGGCTCGCTCGGCACGGCGCTCTGCATCTCCCTGGCGTGGTCCGCGTAGTTCCTGCCCACGCACACGATGTTCTTTCCCCACTCCCAGAAGCGGGACAGCGGCCTGGAAGCTGCCATGGCTCCTGCCGGGCGCCCTGGAGTCACACGGACCTTGTCGAGCCGGTCACCTGACGCCTATGGCTCCCCGGAGAGGACCAACTACCTCGGAGCGCTGTCCCGTCCGCGAAGGCCCGTTCCGCTCCGCCGGTGCCGGGAGGTCGCAGCGCTCGGCCTCCTGGGCTCCTGTCCAGGGGCTGCCTCGGGGCGGCGCGGCCTCCGGACGCTGGCCTAGTACCCCAGGAGAGGCGGGGGCTCGGGCTCGCCGCCGCCGCCGCCGCCCACCTCGCAGCCAACCCTCAGGCCCGCCGCAGCCGGGCGGGGGAGGGGCACGGGTTTGGACGCGAGCGCTGATTGGGCCGCGACTGGGGCGGGGGCGCGAGTCGGGCGCGGATTGGCTGGGGGGCGGGGTGGGCGGAGGGCATGGGCGCGGGCGCGGGCGCTGATTGGCCGCGGCGCCAGCGTGCGCCCGCCCGCCCCTCGCGCAGCCGCCTGCCCGCCGCTCTGGTCATGGTGCTGGGCCGCCGGCTGCTGGGCCGCCGGAGCTTCGCAGCGCTGGGAGCCGTCTGCGCCCGCCGCGGCCTGGGTAGGTGGGCTGGGCGGGCCAGGGCGCCGAGGGGCGGGCCTGACGGGGGCCGGGGGCGCGGGGCCCGGCCGGCGGGGGCACGGCGAGCCGCCCGGCCCGAGGGTCCTGGCCGGCGTCGTGCCGGGGTGACGGTTAGGCGGCCGCGCCCGAGGGTTCCAGAGGCGCCGGCGGCCGCGGCCGGGCGTTGGGCCCGCGCCGGTGGGGGCGGCGGGGAGTTGCGGCCCCGCGGCTGACGCTGTCTTCATCGACACGGGGTTGCCACCGTCTCCGCGGCGTGCAGGCTCGGCGCGGTCAAATCAGACGCTCAGAGAGGGCTGAAGACAGAGGGCCCCGCCCCGGGCGGAGGGACGGTGCCCGAAGGCCGCGGGGTGCTGCGCCGGTGCCCCGCCAAGTCAGCCGCGTCTTTTCACCTGAGCTTTGGCTCACAAGCAAAACCTGGGGCACGTAATTCTGAAGTGGGGACAAGGGACGGAACCCTGGAGCGGTGCTCAGGTTCCGCCCAGAGTGGGTCCTGGGAGCTATGGGACCCTGGGCCTCCCCGGGCCTGTCTCCGTCCACGCCTCTAAAATGACAGGCGCCGGACACGCTGGCTTGCGATGGCCGCACTTCCAGCCGCCAGGGTCCGTCCACTTTGTTAGGAGTATTGTCACCCTGATTTTGCACCTTGTCCCTGTTTTCTGGTATCTTATCTGGCTGATGTGGCCATAGGGGCAGCAGGTTACCCTGGGTCTTTGGGAGGACGGGTTGGCAGGAAGCTAAGTGGCCACAGGGCACTAGGTAGGGAGATGGAGCCAGCAATGAAGCCATCCTTGGCCATGCTCAGATCTCGCTGAAAGCGGTCAAGGTTCTGGAGTGGGTAATGTGTCACCGTTACTAAGGAAAGAGCCTGTTTTTTTCCATTGAGGGACACACATCAAAGTCTCAGGGCTAAGTTTTTGTGTCAGGAGTCAGACAGCAGTGTAAGTGGGACCGCATCCCTACTGGCAAGAACGTGGCTGCCTGCTTCAGACGGGACCCCAGCCATTTGACGCCGTGCAGAAGGACGGGCCCAGTTCAAGAGAAGCCCAGCAAAACGGCTCTGTGCCCTCTGCTTATTCAGATCACAGTTTCAAACCAGTGAGCTGGGAGCATTTCTCAGGCAGTGCTGGGCTAGGTGATGGAATTTTTGGAAAAGGATTAAGGATTCTAGTGGTGCCGACAGAAATAACTGCACCTTCCCCAGGTCACAAGGCTCTCGTGGCACCTTAAGAAGCCTGAGCACCCGCTGTCAACAGTGTTTCCTTCCCTGGGGCCATGCTGTGATGTTCTCCTGGGAAACACAGGAACGGGGCCCCTCTTTGAGGAGGATGCCCCTAGATGGGCAGGGTTCTGTTTTAATCCTTCTACTCTCCTCCCACCCACTCCCACCCTACACACTCTGCCCTGTAGTCCTCCTTGCGCTCAGATAGTGAGGAGGCTTACAGGGGTGGACTATCACAGAAACTTGATCAGACAAAACTGTTTTGCTGTGCACGAGGAGAAGGGCCTGGAAAATGCCCAGCTGGCTGTCAAGGAAAAGGAGGAATCGGATATCTTTGTGTAATCATTAAAGCTACAATTCAGGCAGTTTCTCTGGCCATGGCAAATAAGGTTGAATTTCACATTAGACGGCCCCTGGAGGTGTGGTCTGTCTGTCAGTCATTCAGTGCTGCCCGCTTTCAAGATCCCTTTTGGGAGAGGCCCCCATCCCAGCACCTACCCCAGAATTTCATGGCCGTCCTTTGTCACCTTTTGTGTTTTTAATCCCTTTCACACCAAGACTTAAAGCATTGTGGGAGCCTCCGTGAATTTTTAGATTGAATAGCAGCTTCGTTGTTGAAAATAGTTCAGCACCTGTCTGCTGGGTGGAGGTGCTTTTGGTCTTCAGTCACTCCTGGCCCACCCTGCAGGTCCTTTGGCTAAGTTGGATGGTGATTCCATATCCTGCACGCTCGAATCTAGAACAATTATGGCCAACTCTCCCGTTTCTCAGACCTTGCTGGGTTTTGTGCATTATCCAGATATCCAGTTCCTGCCATTCGAAAGTGAATGTTGTTTTCTTCTCTGGCTGGAGGCCTGAGAAGGAGTGTGAGTAACTGCGCATGACTCAGACTGTCAGCTTGGAGAGGCAGCAGCGTGCTGAGGGGAAGTGCCCCAGGTGGGAATTTCACTTTAGGTTCCTCTCTTCATGGCTTTTCTCTGAGTTGGCTGTGGACACCCCAGGACTGGCAGTGGTCACATCTGACAGCGGTTTGAATCACAGCCACAAGCTGGCACTTCTGTCCTCTTAGGACCCTCAAAAAAGAAAACAAATGGGGGGCCGGCCTGCTGATGCAGCAGTTAAGTTCTCACGTTCCTCTTCGGTGGCTCGGGGTTCGCCTGTTTGGATCCTGGGTGTGGACCTACACACTGCTTGCCAAGCCATGCTGTGGCAGGCATGCCACCTATAAGGTAGAGGGAACAGATGTTCAGGGCCAGTCTTTCTCAGCAAAAAGAGGAGGATTGGCAGCAGATGTTAGCTCAGGGCTAATCTTCCTCAAAAAAAAACCAAAACAAAAACAAAAAAAGAAAAAAAAAGAAAAGAACTGGGGCTGGCCTGGTGGCATAGTGGTTAAATTCATGCATTCTGCTTCAGAGGCCCAGGGTTTTGCCAGTTCAGATCCTGGGCATGGACATAGCACTGCTCATCAAGCCGTGCTGAGGCGGCATCCCACATAACACAACCAGAAGGACCTACAACTATGTACTGGGGGGCTTTGGGGAGAAGAAGAAAAAAAGAGAAGTTTGTCAACAGATGTTAGCTCAGGTGCCAATCTTTTAAAAACAAAGAAGCAAAGAAAAGAAATGGGACTGGCCTGGTGGTGTAGTGGTTAAGTTCGCATGCTCCCTGTCAGGGTTTGCAGGTTCAGATCCCAGGTGTGGACCTACACACCATTCGTCAAGCCATGCTTTGGCAGCGTCCCACATACAAAATGGAGGAAGATTGGCACAGATGTTAGCTCAGAGCCAATCTTCCTCACCAAAAAAAAAGAAAGAAAAGAAAAAGAAAATAAGGATCATAAGTCTGAAAGAGCTGATTTCCATGAATGTGAACACCAATCACTTTCTGTATTTTCCTTACAGATGTGGTTAAATGAGAATATTCTCTATCAAAGGAACTTAGAAAACTTGGCATGGCAAGCCTCATGCTTGGATGCTCACCATGTCGCATCCCTGGGATGGCACATCCCTGGGGATAGCGAGTCCCCAGGATACCTGTACTGCTGGTCTGAGGGCTTGTTTTGGAGTCTGAGCCCTGTGTGGCCTCATGCAGACACTGACGGAAGCTGCATTCTGTCTGCAGGTGCAGCCTTTCTGGGAAGCATTCTCCGTCAGGCGGAAGTAAGGAAGAGCTTGATGGTGGAAGAGGGCAGCATGAAGGTCGAGTTACTGCCTGCCCTAACCGACAACTACATGTACCTGATCATCGATGATGACACCAAGGAGGCCGCCATTGTGGACCCAGTGCAGCCTCAGAAGGTGGGAGGTGTGGCCCCAGCACCACTTCTTCATCCCCTGATGGGTTTGATAACCATGGTGTCCTTGCCACTTGGCCAAAGCTAGTCAGAAATTAATCCGTTTGGGGGCCGGCCCCGTGGCCGAGTGGTTAAGTTTGCATGCTCCTCGGCAGCAGCCCAGGGTCTCGCCGGTTCGGATCCTGGGTGTGGATGTGGCACCGCTCATTAGGCCACGCTGAGGTGGTGTCCAGCATGGCACAGCCAGAGGCACTCACAACTAGAATATACAATTATGTACTGGGGGTCTTTGGGGAGAAGAAGAAGGAAAAAAATGAAGATTGGCAACAGATGTTAGCTCATGTGCTAATCTTTAAGGAAAAAAAAAAGAAATTGATCCGTTTGGTTTTTAAAAAACAGACTAGTTGGGGCCAGCCCAGTGGTGCAGCGGTTAAGTGCGCTCATTCCACTTCAGTGGCCCAGGGTTCGCCAATTCAGATCCCGGGTGTGGACGTAGCACAACTTGGCACGCCATGCTGTGGTAGGCATCCCATAAAGTAGAGGAAGATGGGCATCGATATTAGCTCAGGGCCAATCTTCCTCGGCAAAAAGAGGAGGATTGGCAGCAGATGTTAGCGCAGGGCTGATCTTCCTCAAACAAGTAAACAAACAAAAAACAAACTAGTGTCCAGATACTCTGTTATTGGGGCAAAGGGCCAGTGAGAGGGGTGGAGTTGGCCAAAGGCTTTGGTGTGGAGAGAAAAGGGCTCCATCTGTAAAGTCTGCAGGTCTGGCGAAGCGGGAGCCCTCCTTGGCATGGTCCTCTCTTCTGGAGGCTTCCTGCCCCTTGGCACTGCCTCTAGGGGTGGTGGCCTTGGCTGGAGGGGTTTGGAGAGGTTGTGGATGGGACTGAGCTGCCAAGTGGATCAAGAGAGAAAAAGGCCACCTTCACCCTGCTCTCCTGGAGTCTGGGAGAGTTGGCAGTGTCAGGACGGGGCCTGGCACATCCTGGCTTCCGCTGGGTACCCCCCACCTGCAGCCCAGCAAATCAGTGCTGGGAGTGTGACCCGGCCTGTGTCCTGCCTCACATCTGCTTGCAGGTTGTGGAAACAGTGAAAAAGCACGGCGTGAAGCTGACCACAGTGCTCACCACCCACCACCACTGGTAAGTGCTCTGAAGGCCAACTTCTTCTGCGCCAGCAGAGCTGCTTGGGCCTGACGGCTCTGTGCCACGTGCACCCTGAAGACGCCCATTGGCTGGGCCAGCCGGGGCACTGCAGGCTCTCTGGGCCCTCCCTCATCCGGGAGCCTGGGTCACTTCTAACCCCGGGGACTTGGAGCCTTGGAAACTCTTTTCCCCCACAGCTGTGTCTACTGTGCGGCTGAAGTCGGCCCCTAGGGGGATACTGAGAAGGCTTTCGGGCACTGGCCTCCGTGCTGCTGCCCCCGGCCCTCGGCCCTGGTGACAGGGTCTGGTGACTTGGGGGCTCCATGAAGAGATGGTTGTGCTATGGATCCTGTGGCCACAGGAGGGCCTCCAGCAGCGTCTTTGAAAGCTCTTGGGCTTGTGTGATGAAAAGTTGGCTTTGATGTCAGGGAATAAACTAGTCTAGATGTTAGTGCTTTTAAAAGTCAAGCAGCCATATTTGGAGAGGTTGTGGATTTTTTGATATGTGAAGGCTAAAGGACGAAAAAAGCACGCGTGTTTGGGTTTTAGGATAGAGTTGCCTGCCCAAGCCCTTCTTTTGGGTTTTTGAAACTTTTGAGGCTCTTCAAAGCTAGAAAAAGATGTTCATTTGGGTCTGAATTTTCTTTTCAAATAACTGCCCAAGGGCAGCCAGTGTCTTTGAACCTGAACCTGTGGCATCTTGCCGTGGCCCAGCCTGTGCGGAGCTGGGGGCATGTCCTCGTGGTAAAATGAGGCCTTCCATGTCTTTTCCACGGGCGTATCGGATGGCCGTGGTTTGAGAAACTTTATTCAATGGTGGGAACTTCTTGGTTGATGTAACTCAGTGACTGAGAATGTTTAGGTTGCTTAGCCTCTGGGGCATCAGGTGTTAATTCCTGAACGCGTTAGGGATGGGCATGTGCAGCCTCTCCTTGGCCTGTGCTACTTAGAGCTGCCGCTCTTTCTTTCAGGAAATCCACGCCCCTCCGCCGGCGACCTCTGTGTGGCTGCAGGAGCCTCCACTTCCTGTCCCGAGCCTGTCACAGTATGCCTCTCTCCCACCTAAGTCACCCCCACGTCCAAGGCTACTTTTCTGACACAGCGCTGCTTCAGTGTCGTTCTCCACACCTGATGTTTGTGCTAGAACAAAACGCTAAACCAAGCCCTAAAGGGAGCTCCAGGGCGGGGCCCCCGCCTCCCTCCCACTTATGGGTGGTGGCCCTGACGTTGTCACAGATCAGCGATGGGTGTGCGGAGGATGGGCATGCTGAGGCCTCTGCTGACCCTCCCATGTGTATCAGCCCTCAAGGGCAGAGGAGCAGCGGGCGGGCCTCCTGTTATCTCGGCCCTCTGGAGGAGGCTGGAGGTGGATGTGTGGTGAGGGGCAGGTGTGCCCGGGCGATAGGAAAGCCCTCGCCTTGTCCTGGAAAGGCTGCTCTTCCCATGTTGGACACTCCTGGCCCTGCCCTGAGTTGAGGGCCCCGCCTGGGCTTGCGTTGGTCTAATTCTGGCCCCACAAGGCCAGAGAGTGGAGCTCTTCTCCTGACCCCTTCCTGAAGTGCAGGTCACACTGACCCGGGGAAGCGTTGGGAGCCCCTGGATGAATGTCCAGGAGACACCTCAATTCTGGCTGCACGTTAGAGTCACCTTGGGAGGTCATTCCGGGCTGGCCTGTCCCTGGGCCGACAAATTGCCCTTGGGTGGCCAGGCATTGCTGTTTTAGAAGACAGCTTTGGGATCTGCTCAGGGCAGTGGGTGCCAAACTAGGCTGTGCATCAGAATCTCCTGGGGGCTTTTAGAGCTCCTGTCCTGCAGGCCACCCCCAGGCCAAGTGCATCAGGATATGGGACAGGAGTCAGCTTTTTACAGGTGACTCTGATGTGCCCAAAACTTGGGAATGACAGGCTTAGGGATTACCCAGGTGTTTGTGATTTGGTTCATCTGCTCTGGAAACTTCTGCAGCAACAGGGCAGGGGTGTGGCAGTGCTTCTCCTGGGAACAGGGTGTCTGAGAATGTTCTTTTCAGTGGAGCCAGGTGACAGACAAGAAGCCAGTTTCCTGTGCTGGAAGATGCATTTCTACTTCTGAGAAACATAACTGGGGGAAACAGAAATTCTGTGTGGTCAGGGTTTAAAAGCAAGCAAACCCCCTTTGTATCGCATAGCCCCAGGTCTCCTTTTTGACTTCTAGGGACCATGCTGGCGGGAACGAGAAGCTGATCAAGCTAGAGCCTGGATTAAAGGTGTACGGGGGTGATGACCGGATTGGGGCCCTGACTCACAAGGTCGCGCACCTGTCCACACTGCAGGTGAGGAATGAGCCAACAGAATGGGCTCGAATGTGGCCCTGCCGGACTCCAGGCTCTAGAGCAGAGTGTTGGGAGGGGGCACCGTGGGAACACTGCCTCCCCCTCCTGGCTGTCCCCTCCTGTACCTCAGGGACCCAGAGGGGCACTTGAGCACTTGGGCTCTGGAGATGGCCTTACCTGTGGGTGGATGGAGGGCCTCAGGGCTGCCTGGGCCTGGACAGTCCCCTCTTTTGAGACTGCCTCAGCAAATAAGTGTGCAGGTGGTGGCTGGACGGGGCGAAGCTGGAAGGCAGAGTTTTGAGACAATGGGGAAATTTAAATATGGACTCTAGGTGGGGTCTTATTCTCACATCACTGAAATTTCTGGATGTGAGGATGGTAGTGCGGTTACGTGGGAGGAGGTCCTTTTCTTAGTTGACGCAGCTGGAGTACTTAGGGGCGATTTGTCAGCCTGTGTGCGACATCAAGTGTGGGTGGGGAGAGCACATGCCCCAGATGTGGGAACCGTTAGCATTTGAGGAGCTGGGGAAAGGTCACACAGATGTTCATCTTTATTTCAGTTATTTTGTAGGTTTGAACATTTTTGAGTAAAAAGTTCAGGGGGAAGTGGAGACAGAGAAGGGAGAGAAAACCAAAGGCCAAGCACCTAAGAAGGAGAACCATCTTTTCTAGCAAGACTCCTGGTTCAGATTGGGCCTGATTTTGAGGGAGAAGACAAAGCCCCTTTGGGTTTGCCGCCAGCAAACCTCAGGTTCCAGGGTGGTCCCTGCACCTGGGGGCGCACTCAAGGACTGAGTCCCACGGTCTCCAGCAAGACCCGCGTCCCGCTAGACGGAAGCCCGCAGATCCTCGCTGGGAGCTCCTGCTGTGGGTGGGCCTGGGGTTTGAGGAGGAGTTTGCTGGCCAGGGGGCCATATGCTGTGGGTCTTAGGACAGGCTCCCTGGCACGTGGGGAGCACATGCCCGTGCGTGCTTTGTTTAAGGTGGGGTCTCTGAACGTCAAGTGCCTGTCGACACCGTGCCACACTTCTGGACACATCTGCTACTTTGTGACCAAGCCCAATAGTTCCGACCCCCCTGCTGTGTTCACAGGTGAGTGTTCAGGTGTGTATGCTGGGGGTCGGGCAATCTTTGCAAAGACTCTCTTGCCTTAGGGATGTCTTCAGAAACCTCTGGGCAGAGGAGGAGAGCGCTTCCTACCAGGCACACTAGCAGGACTGTGCCAGGAGGGCCTCGGCCCTCAGGGTGGAGCCTGGGGCTCAGCTTCAAACACATCCGGGGCACAGGCAGGCCGGGTGGAGGTGGGGCTTGGGGAGTGGTGCTCCTGGTGGGGCTGGCCCATGTGCTCCCTCTGATCCTGGTCACCACGGTCAGGTGCCCAGGGGACAAGTCTTTCCTTGAGAGACTCTGCCTGGTGGGGATGCAGTCCCAGCCCCCACCTCTCCAGAAGCAGACGGGTGGGCAAGGCAGGGGGCAGCGAGACTCTCCAAGGGAGACCCCAAGTGGAATCAGTCAGACCCACCTTGTGTGCCGAGTGCTCATTCTGCCCCATCCCTCTGTGAGCTGAGAGCTGAGCTGGGTCCTGTAGCCAGCCCCTGTCCAGGGTGCCCTCCACGGCAGGCCCGAGAAGCTCAGACAGCGGTGGTGGCTGCAGGCCGCAGTGGCCATGACTGTCTGTGAGGTTTGTGGAGCACCACCTGGCGTCAGGCTGTGTGAGCAGCAAGTTGGGGCACATGGTCCTTTCCAGCAATTGGAGGTCTTTTTCCCTTTTGAGAGAAAATGGAAGAATGCTGGTGCTCTTTGGGGAAGCTGTGAGGCGAACAGCTGTGTGATGTCTGGGCATTCAGGGTGACGCGAGCAGCTGGCCGTGGATGAGTGGGAACAGCTGGGAGTGTGTTAGCCCGAGCAGAGCAGGGCTGTTGGTGTGCGGAGGTCCCCCCTTCGTTACCTTTTTCAGTGATTATGGACAGTTTTTAAGCTCTGAGTCTTCCAGAGATGTCAGTCACAATCTTGATGTTATAACTGCAGCAAAAGTTTGTTTGAAAATACGACATCTGGATGCAGGGTGGGCTGGAGTGGGGCCTGCAGTGGGAAGGAGGGCATTCGTGGGGGCTCTACATGGAGGCCTCAGTGGGGTGGACTGAATAGCACGTGCGGAGGCAGGCTCCTCATTTCAGTAAGTGCACCAGGTGACGTCGGATGTTGACATGAAGCAGGGGGGTGCGTAGGGGCCTCTGAACCGTCTCTGAAGCTTGTCTGTAAATCCATAGTTATCCCAAGTCTAAGCTAATTTGAAGAAGCTCAGCCGTTTGCAGTGTCTGCCCTGCAGTGGCCGGCAGTGCCGGCTCTGAGCTGAGGCCCGAGCGCAGGTTCTGGGACCCTGGGCATGTTGTGGGCACCCCGGGGCTCATGATGCGCCTCGCGGTACCATAGTCTGGAGCAGGTGAACTGGCCCATGTTCAATGCTGTGCGCCTGCGTGAGTGGTGTGAGTGGCCTGTCCCCCGCCCCGAGTGGTGATGGGCGTGAGGTGAGAGGTGGGAAATTCTGCCTGGCCTGGTAAACTCCAGCACGTCCACGCTCCTCTTACTACGCCGTGTCAACCACTGGACGTCGGTCTGCCCAGCAGGCAGGTGGGATGACAGTGCCTGCTCTCGGGTTGTCAGGACCTGGGGAGCGTGCAGGCCTGTAGGGATGACCCCACGAGCGAGGCGGGCACCCTTGGGACTGTGCCCATATCAGAAGCCACGCCCCGCTTTGGAAGGTGTGTGGTGGGCTGATTGCCGCCGGACACTGACCCTGAACCGTGCCCTGCACGTGTTGTGCCTATCGTCTAAGTGAGAGCAGCTGGCAGGGAAGTGCCCTGTCTTGTTGGTAACTTTTGTAAAAAATATGTGGAAATGGTTTGGTGTCCTCGTGGTGAAGTGAAGGTGTCTGGGACATTGACGGTGAGGACTAATGGTGTGGGAAACAGACGGACCAGCAGGGCCCTGGCTGGCCTGTGTGTGCACAGCTGAGGAACCTGCAGCATCCAGAGGTGAGGTGATCGGAGGCCCCAGGCCCAGCTCTGAGTGACCCAGGGCCACACTCCCTTCCCCTCTGGGGCCAGCTGAGCCGAGGGAAGAGAACATAAGTGGAGGCGGCCACAGCCCAGGAAAGCGTGTGGCTGCAGCCTGGGATGGGGTGGGCAGGACTGGGTGCTGATGGACAGGGAGGAGGAGAGGAAGGTGGCCTGGGGTACAGGCCTGGGTGTGAAAGCAGGGTGCGGCGATGTCACCCAGTGGGGCCTCTGTGTTTGAGAGGTTGTGGTCTGGGACCTAAGATTTGGGACCCCAGCTCATGGCAGTGAGTGCCGAGGCCACGGGAGCAGCTCAGGTGGCCGGGAAGGGGAGGCCACAGTGGATGCTAGAACCTTGGGCTAAGTCTGGCGGCGTGTGGAGAGGAGAGTGGCAAGCTGGCTCTGCAGAGCTTGTGGGGGAGGAGAGGCCTGCCAAGGAGGTGGGACGCCCCCAGATAAGGGCAGATGATGTTGGAGGGTGAGAGGGGCACAGTGGGAGGCTGGGGGTGCAGGAGGACAGCCGTCCTGGCCACCAGGGGAGGCATGTAGGTCCCTGGGTCTCTCAGTTGTCCTTGGTGCTGTGATGCTGCCAGTGAGGATGCGGCCCCCAAAAGGAGGAGGCCCAGGCTGGCTCCCCCTGATGGCAGGAGGCCCGTGAAGTTCCTGGGCTTGGAAATAGCAGGTGCTGCTTGTCCCTGGAGGGAGGGCCAGACCCTTCAGCCTCCTGCACCTTTGCGTGGCCCATCCTCCTCTGGGGTCTCCTTGGCCTCTTGCTGGTCCCCAGATTTGAGGTTGTATGGTCCTTCAGGGGCAGGGCCCCAGTCCTCTGTCGCAGGCTGCCCTTCTACCTCATCCTGTTGTCCTGTTCTGAGGGGGCAGTGCTGCACCACGCCCACCCGGTGGGCCTCGGCTCCTACCTGGGACAGCTCCATGGTTCTGGGGTGTGGGCCGGGGCTCCCTGGGAAGAGGCCTGGCAAGTGCTGATGGAGGAAGAGTGTCATGCAATGTTGGGGGGCCCCAGGCTTTGCCCACCACAGGGACCTGGAGAACAAATGCACCTTGGGTTTCCACTGGGCACAGAGCCCATTCTCGGGGAAGATCCCCAGGGGAAGGAAGCAGCAATGCATAGAGACCTGGCAGGTGTCAGGTGGAGGGGACATCGTCTAAAGGGCTGAGGCAGGAAAGGGCTGAGTGGATGGCAGCAAGTCCACGTCTCGAGGCGCCTTGTGGGCTGTGGTACCTCGTGCGGGGCTCCTGGAGGGCCGAGGCAGAGGCTGGTGAGATCACAGAGGGTGCTCTGATAGGATGGCGCTGGCTGCTGGGAATAAGGGAAGACACAGGAAGCTGGGCCTGGGAGGGGGCTGCTGGGCAGGTGGGGAGAAGGGCTTAGTTTTGGGGGCCTCAGAGCTACAGCTGATAGGACTGGGCAGTGAAGGGAGGAGTCAGGCTGACCCTAAGGTTTGGATCTGAACAGCTCTTGGGGGGCTGGTGGTGCTTGTTAGTGAGGCTTGAGGGAAAAGGTCTGGGGAGCGTGGGGACTGAGCATTGTGGGTCGTCTTCAGGTCCTGTCGGGCACCTGGGTGGAGGTCGGGGCCGGGGCTGGGCCCTGGTCAGCCCAGGGCTCAGAGCGGAGCCCTGGCTGTGGGTGCAGCCCATGGACTGTGGGGTGGTCAGCACTGTCTGGGAGCTGAACTTAGCCCCTCAAGGAGGTGCATCCTGCTGGTGATCCCTCCGCTGCTCATGGCTGTGCTGTTTTTCAGGTGACACCTTGTTTGTGGCCGGCTGTGGGAAGTTCTATGAAGGGACGGCAGATGAGATGTACAAAGCCCTGCTCGAGGTCCTGGGCCGGCTCCCTCCAGACACAGTAGGCAGCCCCGCCACTCCCTGGGCCACCCGCCATCAAGCTCACCATGACTAGGGCATTGTGAGGACACCGCCTGCGTGCTCTGTCCCCTCACCGCCATCCTGGCCCCTTTCGGAGCCGTCAGCCCTCACAGCCTGGCTCCCCCACTGTGGCCACACAGGCCTCTCCTGCATGTTGGCAAGAGCGGGAGGGCAGAGGCATTTCCTCTGGAGCGTGGTTCCTCTTCTAATGTACTCTTTATTGTTGTTTAACCTACACGCAAGAAGTGTCCTTGCCCTAAGGGACATCTCCATGGGTGTTGCTGGCTGGACCCAGCCCGGGGCCCCTCCATCCTGTCTCTGAGGGGTTTGAGGGCCGATTAATGAGTCTCTTCAGAGCTCACAGGTTTGGCTTTTTCCCAGAGAGTGTACTGTGGCCACGAATACACCATCAACAACCTCAAGTTCGCTCGCCACATGGAGCCCAACAATGCCGCCATTCAGGAGAAACTGGCCTGGGCCAAGGTGAGTGGGATGTGCTCCGGGGCACATCCTGTGGGACAGTCACTGTGAAGTGACTTCCCTGGGTTCACAGAGGGTCCAGGTCCTTGGCACTGACAGTGCTATCCCCAGAGTGGGCAGAAAGTGCTCCTTGGGCTGGTGAATCAGACAGGTTTTAGACCAGCCCAGCTAACTGCTCAGGGGAGCCCTGGTTGTCTCGCTAAGATCCTTTCTGACTCGATGGGTCCGGGCTGGGCCTGGGATTCTGCATTTCCAGCAAGCGCCCAGGCAAGGCCGAAGCTGCAGGTCCCCAGCCTGTTTCCCACGTCCTGGGCTGCACGGTCTGGAGGGACCATGTGGCACCACCTCAGCCTCCTTGTCTGGGGAAACTGCCCCTGCACTCTCCTCAGAGTGGCGGAATTCACCTGGAGGCTGCTTGTCTGCAAGGCATTTATTTCAGCCAGGGCTCCCGATGTGCTGGCACCCACTGTGCTGCGCAGCTCAGCCCAGGGCCTGGCTTGGGGTCCTGGAGGCATCTTCTGTGGGGGTTTGGGAATGCTGCTGCGGGTGGCTGGGCTGAGGAGTTTCTGCTGGACTCGGGGGCTGTGTCCCCCTACAGTCACTGAGAAATGGTGTCAGTAGGAAACACATGCACCCGGGAGGCCGCAGGTGCCAGGCTCCCTTCTGCTGAGCTCGGTGAGCAACACCACCTCGTAGAGTTTTGTTTTTTTAACAGATCACCTGTTTTTGTTGAGCATATTTTATCAATTTTTGGGGGTGGGCTTACGAAATAGTACTTATAAAAATTCAAACACTACCTTAATCAATCAGTTGATAAATATTATCCCATTTTTTTACAGTGTGCATATATGAAAACTTTTCTTAATATAAAAAATTATACTTATTGTTTTGTGGCTTCCTTCTCACTTAACACATCTTAGTGCTCTTTCCATAGCAATCCATACATATTGGACTCATTCTTTTCCCAGTTATCTGCTTTTTAAAAACGAGTCTTTATTGAGGATAATTTACATAGAGTAAAACTTACCTGTTCTGTGTGAAAGTATATAGTTTAGCGAATTCTGACAGGGTGTGCATCCGGGTAACCCCCACCACAATCAAGAGACAGAACATTCCGCTCCCCAAAAGCTTCCCTTGCCTTTTCCCATTCAGGCCCCCAACTGCTCACATGCTCTGTCATGATAGATTACTCCTTTCTAGTGTTTCATACAAAAGGTGGCCTATAACGTTACTCTGTTGTGTCCGCCTCTTTTGCTCAGCATTCATGTTTTGAGATTCATTGTGTTCTCTTTTATTTCTGAGTAGTGTCTCATATGGATATACTACAATTTGTTTATCCACTCATCTGTGGATGGACACTTGGGTTGTTTCCAGTTTTTTGCTATTACAAATAAAGTTGCTATGAACGTTTGTGTGCAAGTCTTTGTGTGGACACATGTTTTCATCGCGTGTGGGTGCATACCTAGGAGTGGAATTGCTGGGTTGTATGGTAAGTGTATGTTTAACTTTTAAGAAACTCCCAAACTGTTTTCCAATTTATTGTACCATTTGGCATTTCCACCAGCAATGTCTATGAGTTTCAGTTGCTCCACACACTCACCAACACTTAGGATTATTGATCTTTTGTTTTTTTTTTTTGCTGAGGAAGGTTAGCCCTGAGCTAACATCTGTGCCAGTCTTCCTCCACTTTATATGTGGGTTGTCACCACAGCATGGCTGATGAGTGGTGGAGGTCCACGCCCAGGATCCAAACCTGTGAACCCAGGCCTCCAAAGCAGAGTACGCTGAACTTAACCACTACGCCATGGGGCCAGCCTCTTGTTGGTCTTTTAAATTTTAGTCATTCTAATAGGTGTGTAGTGGTATCTCACTGTGGTTTTAAAATTTACATTTCTCTGATGGCTAATGAAATTGAGTGTCTTTTCACATGCTTATTGGCCTTCTATATGTTGTCTTTTGTGAAGTGTATGTTCAAATCTTTTGTCCATTTAAAAAATTGAGTTGTCTTCTTACTGAGTTGTAAAAATTCCTTATATATTCTACAAACAAGTCTTTGTCAGATATATACCTCAAATATTTTCTCCCAGTTTGTGGCTTGCCTTTCCATTTTCTCAACAGTGTCTTTCAAAGAATAAAAGTTTATACTTTTGGTGAAGTTCTGTTTATTAATTTTTTTATGCTTTTTGTGTCTTATCTAAGAAATATTTACATACCTCTACATCACAAAGACTTTTGCCTATGTTTCCTTCTAGAAGTTGTACAGTCTTAGCTTTTATGCTTATATAGATTTATGTTTAGGTCAATGATCCATTTCAAGTCAATGTTTGTGTATGGTGTAAAGTCAGAGAAGGTCACTTTTTTTGCATATTGACACCCAGTTGCTCAGCACCGTTTGTTGAAAAGACAGTCCTTTCCTCATTGGATTACCTTGGTGTCTTTGCAGAATAGAATGGACCATGTAGGCACGAACCTGCTTCTGGACTCTCTATTCTGTTCTGTTGATCGATATAATTTATCCTTGCATCAGTTATACACTTTGATTACTATAGCTTATCATAAGTCTGGCAATCAGGTAGTATAAATCCTCTAACTTTATTCTTTTTCAAAAGTGGTTTTGGCTCTTCTAAGTCTTTTGCATTTCCATATGAGTTTTAGGATCATCTAAATTTCTACAAAAAAGTCAGCTTGGCTTTTAATTGGAACTATGTTGTAACAAAAGACATGGAGAGAATTGAGATCTTAACAATATTAAGTCTTTCCATGAATATGCTATAGCTTTCCATTTATTGAAGTATTTAGTTTTTCTCAGCAATACTTTGTCATTTTTAAAGAAATTACACATATTGTTAAACATATCCTTAAGGACTTCATGTTTTTGGATTCTATTATAAATGATTATTTGTTGATAGTCTTTATAAATATACTTTATTTTTGTATTTGACCTTGTATTCTTGTGACCTTGCTAAACTCACTTATTCTAGTATCTTTTTCCTAGATTCCTTAGCACACAATCATGCCATCAATGAACAGACAGAGCTTTATTTCTTCCTTTCCAATCTCTATGCCTTTTATTTATTTTTCTTGTCTTATTGCACTGGCTAAGCTCGCCAGTACAACATTAAATAGAAGTGGTGAGAGTGGACATCTTTGGCTTGTTCCCAGTCTTAGGGGGAAAGCATTCAGTGTTTCACCATTAAGTATGATACTAGCTGTGGGTTTTTTGTAAGATCCTCTTTATCAGGTTGATGAAGTTCACTTATATTCCTGGTTTTCTGAGAGTTTTATCATAAGTGGGTGTTTAATTTTTTCAAATGATTTTTCTTCTTCTGTTATGTTTTTTCTCTTTTACTCTATTAGTATAGTGGAGTACATCAATTGGTTTCAAATGTTAAACCAACCTTAATCTTGGTGTATTACGTTGCTAGAGTCTATTTTTATGTCTGTGTTCATAAGGGATATTGATCTGTAGTTTTATTTTCTTGTAATGTTTTTGGTGTTAATATGAGGGTAAGCTGGCCTCATAAAATGAGTTGGAAAGTGTTTCCTTCTATTTTCTGAAAGAGTTTTTTATGATTATTATGATTTCTTCCTTTAATGTTTGTTAGAATTCACTGGTGAAGCCATCTGGACATTAACTTCTTTTTGTGGAAAGATTGTTTTTGTTATGAATTAATGTCTTTAATTTGTGTAGGACTCTTAGATTTTTATATCTTCTTGAGTCATTTTTGTTAGTAACTTGTGTCTTTCAATGAATTTTTCCATTTCATCAAAGTTTTCAAATTTGTTGACATAGTTTTCATACTGTTCCCTTTTTTAATAGCACCTTTGTTCAGGTTTACTTCACACGTATAAACTGCATCAGTTTAAAGTGAACAATTGAGTGAATTTTGACACGTATTTACCAATAAATGACTACCACTAAAATTAAGATACAGAACATTTCCATCACCCCCGAAAGCTTTCTCATGCCTCATTCTCTCTGCCCTGGCTCCAGACAACTGATCTGTTGCATGCCACTAGACCCTAGTGGCATTTTCTAGAATTTTATGTAAATGAAACTCCACAATATGTGCTCTTCTATCTCTTTTTCACGCAGCAGAATGATTTTGAGATTCATTTGTGTTGCTGCATGTTTCAGTAGTTCCTTTTTATTGCTGAATAGTAGTCAGTTGTTTGGAGATACCACATTTTGTTTATCCATTCATCTGTTGATAGACATTTGTGTTGCTTCCAGTTATTGGTTATTGTGAATAAAACTGCTATGGTCATTGTGTGACATATGTTTTAATTTATCTTGAGTAAACACCTAGGAGTGGAATGGCTGGGCTATGTTATGTGTATGTTTGACTTGTAAAGAAACCACTAAACTGTTTTCCTAAGTGACTGTATTATTTTACATTAGTGCTAGCAAAGTACTAGAGTTCCAGTTGTTCCACATCCTCACCAACACTTGGTACTGTCAACCTTTTAAATTTTAGTCATTTCAATGAGTTTATTGGTTTCATTTGCTCTTCCTCAGTGCCTAACAATGTTGAACATCTTTTTAAGTGCTTATTGGCCATTTTTGTGAGGTGTTAGTTCAAGTCTGTTCAAGTGTCAAACCCATTTAAAAAACTGGATTGTCTTTTTGTTATTGAATAATAAGATTTTTTAAAGTATATTCTGGATACAAGTCCTTTGTCAGATATATGTATTGTGAATAGCTTCTACCATTCTGTTTCTTGCCTTTTATTTTCTCAACAATGCCTTTTGAAGAGCAAACATTTTAAATTTTGATGAAGTCCAGTATATTAATTTTCTCTTACGTTTCATACCTTTTGTCTCCAATCTAAGAAATCTTTGCTTTTCCCAACGTCAAAAAAAGTCTCCTGTTTTTGTTTTTGGAAGTTTTATAGTTTTAGTTTTTACTTTTAATTCAATTAGATCAGTATAATCCCCCCCACCCAATATCTGTTGGATCTGTTGTGATGGCCCCTCTTTCATGTCTGATGTTGGCAATTTGTGTTCTTTTTCTTCATCATTTTTATCAATTCTGTTGATCTTTTAAAAGAAAAAATTTCCCTTAGCTTTCCTTGTTTGTTTATCCATTGCACTGATTTCTGCTCTAATCTTTTTTAACTCCTTCCTCTACTGGCTTTGGATTTACTTTGCTCTTCTTTTTATAGGTTCTTAAAATGGAACCCAAGGTCATTGATTTTTAGACCTTTCTTCTTTTCTAATATAAGCATTTAAAGCTAAAAACTTACCCCTAAGTATTGCATTAGCAGCATCCCACAAACTTTGATACATTGTATTTTCATTATCTTCAATTCGAAATATTTAAAAAATATCCCTTGTAATTTCTTCTTTGACACATGGGTTATATTGAATTGTGGTAAACTTTTTTAGTCTTTTCAACATTTTATTATGAGAATGTTCACACATATAGAAAAGTCGAAGGAATTTGCATTGTGAACATTCATATATACAACATCCACTTTCTACTATTAACATCTTACTATACTTCTTACTGTCTAGCCATCCATCTTACTTTCACTCTTTTTAGTAAGCAAAATATACTAATGCATAGATGTCACCATAAATCATTTTACTGATCCCACTGGGAAGGACATTTAGAGTTTTTAATTTTTTTTGCTCCTATGAACTGTGGTGCAGTGCACATCCTCATACCTAAGTCTTCACGTTTCTGCATGCTTCATGCTTCTGTAGGAAACATTGCTACATGTTAACACTCAATAAATAATCCAAAAGATTATGACAGTTTACACTCCCCCATCTACACATGGAAGGCCCTGTTTTAAAATGACCCTTAGGAGAGTTAATCTTTCCTCATAGGACGTGGAAGAAGATTTCTTAGGACGAGTGAGAATACTGGAGGAAGCACAAGGAATATTATAAAACATTCTAAGCTTATTCTCACCAGAAGGGAAAGATCAGAAATTAGCAATAAGCTTTCATCTTGACCTCCCACCAGACCCCTACTCGACACACCTCCAGCGGTTGAAGGATTACTTCTTGATGCCACTACTCAAGGGATCAAGGGGTGGGATCAGGACCCTTGGTCCAAGGGCCCCCAGTGGTCAGGAAGCCTGGGTGTGGGTGTTGACAGCTACTGTCCAAGCTCTGGCCCTGTAGCCCTCCAGGTTAGCCTGGCAGTAGAAGGGCAGGGGCTGCGGGAAGGGTAGAGACCCCCCCCCCCCCCCCCCGAGCTGTTAACTCTGAGCTTTTTCCTATAGGACTTTCTATGGGAGCTAACAGTTGGCCAGATGGCCTGGTTTACATCTTCTCCCTGTCTGCCCTGCTCAGTGTTGATAGGAGTGAGGTCATCCCCCGTGGAGGTGACCAGCTGCCCACTGAGGGCTCTTCCTGGATCCTTCCTAGGAGCCTGTGAAGGGGAAGCCCTGCCCAACCAACCTGTGATGAGAGCTCACCACGCCTTCCAGGGGGCTCTCATCCCAGAGGAGGGAACCCGGGCACCTGTCGCCTTGCTCTGCTTCCCAGCTGTGCTGTGCACAACCCACATGCTGTGTTGGGGGTGTAGCTGTGGGCGTTTCTTCTTTTTTATGTTTTCTGCACTTTTGCTGGTTATTACTTCTGTAATGTAAAACATAAACTTCATATTCATAAAAAGAAAGCTCCATGTCCCCCTCCATCCCCAGGCTAGCAAGGGAAGGAGGGCCGGGTTGTCACTGGCAGCTCAACACTCACGTCTTCAAGTCCTTGCACTGAGCTGACTCTGCTCACTTTGCCTTCTCAGTCAGAGGATGTTGCAAGATCGCTAGAAGGTATTCTGAAATGTCATTGTTAGAAGTTTCCGTGTTAAAGTGATCTGTTTCTTTTGCAGGAAAAGTACAGTATCGGGGAGCCCACAGTGCCGTCCACCATAGCGGAGGAGTTCACCTACAACCCATTCATGAGAGTGAGGTGAGGGTGTCGTGGGAGGGGCGCCACCCCAACCTGGGGCGTCTTCGCCTCTGCTTCCCTCGAGCACAGCTGAACAATGTCCGCTCATTGAAACTCCTTCTGAAGATCCCAAATGCTAGAGGAGACTGCCCTGAAATCTTTATTAATTGTAGCCAAAGAATCAGACACTTTTTCTTAAAAGTCAGGGGTGAGTTAAAAGCCAGTGCCCTTGGCATGCTGGCAAGGGCCTGGGGTCCTCTCTAACCATGGCCAAGGTCCCTTAGGCAGGCCAGGTGGGTTCTCAGAGAGCTTTGTGGTGCTGTGCCACCTGGGCAGTGCCAGACACCAGTGTGGAGTTGGTGTCTCCACTCTCTGGGTCGCTGGCGGGACTAGGCTTGGCCAGCATGTCTTCCACAGTGAGGAACACCCAAGTTGGCCATTGGCTGTCGCACTTCATTTTAAGAAGGTCCCGACTTCTCCGGGCTCCTTTCCTCCCTGGTGCCCTGGGAGGCGTGGTGGGCCTGGCAGGTGCAGTGTGCAGCCTGCAGCCTGGCGCTTGGCTTCCACAGGGAGAAGACTGTGCAGCAGCATGCGGGTGAGACGGACCCTGTGACCACCATGAGGGCCATCCGCAAAGAGAAGGACCATTTCAAGGTGCCCCGGGACTGAGGTGGCTGCGGGGCCTGGGCGCCTATGGCTGCTGCCCCCGCCTTCAAGCGCATTTGGGTATCAGATGTTTTAGGTGAATTTTCTGCTAGAAGTGTGGAGATTCAGTCTTGGTTTAATCTTAAGTTAATTTCAGAGCCCTCTGCTTGTGTTATCAAATGTCCTAACGCATATCTATAAGAGAAGCAGCTAGGAAGCGTTTATCCCTGGAAGCTCCGCTTGCAGACTGTGTGTTCTCTCTGGCCTTTTCCTGGGGCCCCCATGTGACCCCCTACACGATGCCCCAACAAGACTTGCCCCCTTCCCTGCCCGGACTGCACGTCCCTGCTGTCACCCCCCTCAAGTCCATGCTGACCAGAACAGGGCCCCCAGAGGGGGCGGGGGGTGCTCGCCCCTCATTTTCCTGGCACTGCAGGGAGATACCTGGTGTTGCGCCCACCTCCTCCTCCTCATCCTCCCCCCTCCCCCAGCTGCCTCTAGAGGAAGTCATCCTCAGAGGTCCTGTGTCGGCGTCTTCGCAGAGCATTTGTGTGTTGACGTGGAGCAGAACCCCAGCCCAGCCCAGCCCAGGCTGGGTCCGGCCTTGAGCACCTACCTCGGCTGGGGCAGCGAGCAGTTTGTGGCCGGAGCACAGCTGTGCGTGAGGCCGGAGGCTGGAGGCTGGGCAGTGGTGAAGAGCCGCCTTCCTCCGCAGGGCCTGCCGGGGGTCGGGCCAGGGCACGCGGGCTGGGAGCCTCTGTCACGTGGTGCCCACGGAGCTCCGAGCTCGGCACACCTTGTCCCTGAGGAGGCTGGCCTGTCCTGGGGATGTTCCCAGGGACTGTGTGGGACACTGTGCCTCGTGTGGCTAAGAGAGCTGAAGGGAGGGATGGCAGGACACGCGTCTTCGGTCGGGAGTTGCCAGGCGCCCACGTGGCTGTCACACACCACTGTGGGCACCTTGCTGCCCTGCTCACAGTCTCATCCACTCAGGCCCCAGCAGGGAGAGGCCTCCACATCCTTCCTCCTGTGGGAATTTGAAAGAGGCCCCGGGAAGCTGCCATGCTAGGCGTGGCTCCTTAGCCTGCAAGCTCAGGCGGGTCCTGGGCCCTGGGAGAGCTGGGGGGCTCTGCTTGCACCGGGTCACATCCCAGGCAGAGCTGGTGGGAGGCTCGGGTGGGGAGGAACAGGGAGAGGCCGCCCTGGTGGGTCCCAATGGCACCCAGGGCCCTACGGTGTAAGGAGGAAGGGTGAGACTTAGGACGCAGGGCGCAGACCCAGGGGACAGTGAGGGGCAGAGAGGGCTGCAGGGAACAAGGGGTGTTTGTTCCCAACCAACTCATTTCTGGATCTGGAGGTTTTCCATATTTTCAGTCTGGCCTTGATCTGTGACCAGTACCAGGAGCTGGGGTCTGTGAAGGCTCTGCTCGCTGAGCCTGTCACTTCAGTCTCCCATTGGTCTGTCCTGTGATGACGCTCACTGAAGACTGTGTTAGTGCCTTTCGGTCCTGTCCTTGGCTGAGCTGGGGCTCCCATCACCGAGCAGCCGCCTGTGTGGGCCACGCTGCTATATGGCTGGGAATCCAAGACATGTCAGGGTTGCATGAGAATCAGAGCCATTCTTGTCCAAGGATTATAACATTCTAGATGGAGCCAAAGCTCCCTGTGACCAGCAGCCTCCACCCCTGCTTCTGCAGCAGTGGCGTGGAATGGGGTTTGCACGGGTCCTTCTAGACGCTTCATTTCATGGCTTTGACCACCAACTGTGTGGAAATACCTGTGCAGGCGTCTCAGGACGCTGCGGGGCTTTGCGATGCCTGTAAGTCCTGGAGAGCTCAAGGTCCCGTGTGGCCTGTGGCGCTGTGTCCACTGCCCCCAGGGGCCTCCCTAGGGACGTCGAAGTCACTGCAGTTCCCACCAGCCACGTGTCTTCCCCAGCTGCACAAAGGCCATGCTAAGGGTGAGCGGTTTTCATCTTAACCTGCTGCCCAGAGGCCCCTCTCCCACCAGGATCCACCACGATCCCACTTTGCTCTGCTTAGTTCCTGTGTTCCCGATTGCACGTTTAATGTCAAATAAAGAGTAGAAACAAAACATTTACAAAACGTCCAGAACATAAGGAAAAACCTGCCCAACGCCCAGCCTGCGCCACCATGCCGGCCCTCCTCCTCACGGCAGGGGCAGCAGCCTGGGGTGGGCTGGGGTGACGGTGGGAGAGGGTCCCGGTGTGAGCTGAGGTGGAGGCCACAGCCCCTCACAGGAGGCCTGTGGGGTCAGGTTTGGGCCAATTGAGCTTAAGATGCCTGTGAAACCAACCGGTGGGGCTGGAGTAGGCAGAGGAAGGTCAGGCCAAGGTCCAGGCTGGAAATGCATGGTAGGGCACTGCCAGCATGAGGGTGAGTTCTAAAGCGAGGAGACCAGGTGCCGTCACGTGCGAGTGAGATCAAGATTTCGGGGCGTTCAGAGGTTGGGGAGCCATGAGGCAGGAGGAAGGCCCGAGGGGTGGTGTTGCCAGGAGGAAGCGGCAGGGGCAGTGGGACGCACAGAAGGCCGGCTCGTCCCCTCGACGGTTGGTGGTCGGGCCGAGGAGCCACTGTCATCACACTGAGCAAGTCTTCCAGTTGCTACGAGCCATTCCGAATGGGAGCTGGATGTTGTCACACAGTCTCCTCTGGTCCGGTGAATTCCAGGAACGGTTTTCAGTGCCGGGTTGGTATACTCTTGAGCTAACCCGCTTTGCTAGCGCTCCTCGTGCAGTCCGTCTGGTCTGGGTAAGTGACAAAGTGCGGTGGAGCGGTGGAGCGGTGGAGCGGTGGAGCGGTGGAGCGTCTTCACTTCTTTGGGAGTTTGTAGAAGGTAATTTGAGTCTGAGCCTGGTGTTTTATTTTACGGGTATTGTTAAAACTAGCGATTCCATTTTCCCCTGGTTATAGGGCTATTACGTCTGTTCTTTTCAGCCACTTTTGGTAAGCTGCTTTCTTTCCCATGTTTTCAAATCGGTCTGTAACGTCCTTGTGTCTCTAACATGGACATCTGTGTTCCCGCCCCTTCCAACCAGCTCTCTCTGCTGTTTCTGCCCTCTCGTTTGGGCTCCTGCTTTCTCAGCTCCTCAGGGATTTCTCACCTTCTTTCCTAATAAGAATGGAAAGCCGAAAGCTCCCCGAAGCGTCCAGTGTGAAGCACAAGAGGGTGCAGAGAACTCACATGACTCGTCATTTGATGTCTTCCCTGACGCGCGCGCTGGGGTGTAGGTGGCCACAGTCCCTCCACTGAACACACACACAGCCCAGGTGTTCCTGACTCCTGACCAGCGCGCTCTTCCCTCTGAGGATTTTTAAAGTATTTCCCGACTGCTCTGTCATCTGTTTCCCTTGTGGGGGCTCCATCTCTCACCAAGCCATGTCCCTGTGTGTTTAGTCTGACCCTTTGCGGCCACCTTGGGGACATGCCCTTGGGGGGTGGTCTTCCAGCACACTGGCCTCACCAGGCCCTCACTGTTTCTTCAACAGCTGCCCCACGGACCTGCTGTGTGTGCTGTGCTAGTCCCAGTGTGGTACATTTCTCTCCAGCTATAAAATCACTTAGATTTTAGTAGTGACTGTGTTTTACAATCAAACCTTTTAAAACTTACTTATTTATTTATTTATAGTGAGGAAGATTGGCCCTGAGCTAACGTCTATGCCAGTCTTCCTCTATTTTGTATGTGGGATGCCACCACAGCGTGGCTCGATGAGCAGTGTGTAGGTCCGCACCCAGGATCTGAACCTGCAAACCCTGGGCTGCCGAAGTGTAGTGCACAAACTTAACTACTATGCCACTGGGATGGCCCTATTTTTATTTATGAAGGTGAGATTCACATAACATACAGTTAACGGAGTGTACAATTCAGTGGCATTCAGTACATTCACAATGTTGTACAACCCCCCACGTCTCTAGTAATCTGCAACTTTAAATCATTAATGTGTCAGTAAAACTAAAAGCAGAGGCTTTCCTGGTCCACCCACTTCTACAGATGCTGGTTCTGAGCTGGGGCAGCAGAGGCCTGGGAAAGAATTGCATCTCAGTGGATCCAGCAGAGAGCCTGGTGCAGGGGCTGTAGATCCCGAGAGGAAGCCCCCCAGGACACACACTGCCCTCCCCCTGTGTGGCTCTGTCTGCGTGAATGCTCAGCTGTTAGCAGAGGTCGGGGTCACCTCTGCTCTTTGACCCTCAAACCCACCTGGGATTCCACTGAGGCAGAGGAGGCAGGACACCAGGTCCTTTCTCTTACTTCCTTCAGCACTCCTTCTCCTGCCCCCTAGCTCAAAGAGTTTTTCTTTTAATTCTTTGTCAGCAAATATTCTTAGGCTAGAACCTTGACTTCTAAAACTCTACAACCAATAATTACTTTCTTTTTTCTATGATTTCTATTCTAACAATCCTCTGTCAAAGCAACTAATACCTCATGTTTAGTTTGAATGGGCAGGGGTGGTAGAGCAGTCAATGGGGAAAAAGAATTTGAGAAATTGAAGAGAAAAATAGGTAATTCACCAATAATCAGAGATTTTAATATTCCATTTGATAACTGATAGAACTAGATGGAACATCAGCAAGGACATAGAAGATTGAACACTGTCACTCAACTGAAGCTACCTATTTATAGGACATTCCACCAATATTCTTTTCAGGTGCTCACGGAACATTCTCCAGGATACCACATATCTTAGGCCACAAAACAAGTCACAATAAATTTTAAAAGACTGAAATTATACAAAGTATGTCCTCTAACTTCAGTGGAATTAGATATCTACAACAGAATGAAGTCTGGAAAAATCTGAAATATTTGGAAGTTAACCACATTTCAAAATAGCATGTGGGTCAAAAAGAGTGAAAATGAAAACACACCATAACAAAATTTGTGAGATGCAGCTAAAGCAGTGCTAGAGGGAAATTTATAGCTTTAAAACATCTGTATGAGAAAAGGAGACAGGCCTCAAATAAAAAACCTAGGCTTATAAAGAAACTAAAGAAAAGAGAAAATGAAACAAACCCAGAGGAAGGAGAAGGAAAGAAAGAATAAAGATTAGAGAGAAAATCAGTGAAACAGAAAACAGAAAAACCAAAAGTTAGTTCTTTGAAAAGATCAACACAATTGACAAACCCTTAGTTATAAATGAAGGAAGAGACATCACTACCACCCCTATAGAAATAGAAGGGACTTATAAGGGACACTAGGAAAACTCTATACCAACAA